AAAGAAATCTGAAAGATCTGCCTATCTCATTTTAATATAAGCATGCTTGTTATAGGGATATGTAAAGAGTTGAAACAACCATTCATTTTACATTAAAAACCGTTTTGCTAATCTGTTTGCTGAATTTCTCTCAAAATAAAATTTCTCTTTTGTTAGTTCCTTAAAGTATTATATGTATATGTCTAAAACAAAAAGGTGGCGGGTTAAAGAACATCGAGATGCTAATGAAACTGTAGTGGCATAAAACGTTAACTATAACCTCATATTTTAAGGCCACTCATGATTGTACTGGTAATACCAGCAAAATCACAGGTAATATCTCTTCCAACGTGCCAAACTACAGCAACGTTGCTTCCACAATAGAACCAATTCAACAGTCATGAAAATGATCGTTAAACTGCTGTTGATATCTTCTCTTAATATCTTTTCTGAACGAGCACCATTGTAACAGGTTGATGATCCTTCTATGGGAGAACAAGAGCACAGCAGTCTTATTGATGCAGTAAATATGAAACTACTGCATTGATAAAGCAACATTAAAATGTTTAAAAAGGGGATCAAACAATAGATACGAGAAAACCAAAAGAGTTTATCGAACGCAAGATTGTCAAGAAGTGCAAAGATTCCTTCCAGTTCTAGACAAGCACCATGTAGCACTTGCAGACAGGATAAATACATATGACCTACTTGACCAAAGATTTAGTTTTTTAACAACCTTGAACAGTGAAGATTTTCAACACAAGTGCAAAGCTTTATAAAGGCATATCCAGATAATTTTCTGGTTGGAGAGGAGTTGTATTTGGAAATAATAAATTTTCAGATTTCTTTGACAGCTATATTCTTTGCTCACAAAGAACAAGGAATAAAGTAAGGCTCTTGTGGACAATGATTTCTGTACGAGTTGGACTCTTGAATGCTTTTCCCAATGTTGAAGTGTTCCCGCATTTACATTTACGAACTTTTACGAACTTAAAAATGACGTTAGCCATCATCACGCTAATAAAGGATAGAGAAGGTATTTTCGTACCTTCTGGCCGGACTTCTTTTCAAGTAGCCAGTAACTTTTAGAATGAAATATCCTGGCCTAATTATAACAAAGCATTCATGTCAGGAAAATACAATTAAGCCTGTTCAAACAATTTTAGACAACTAGACTGCAAAACGGAATAATTTTCAATCTCTATATTAGATAATATTTGTTTTTTAAACTTGCGTTTTTCAACGGATTCCTAGTTAGTTATACTTATTAAAAGGACAGATGACTTCACAGAGAAATACGAACATATTGTATTTTTTTTGGTTGTAGAAGAGGCAACTAAAAATCATTGTTTCAATTTCTGCAAAGTTTGAAAACGCATAAAAAATATTGTTTTCTTCAGGCTTCAGCAGTTTTGACTGGATAACTGGGCAGCTACTTTGATGAACCACTCCGAATAGTCATTTAAGCGTTGATGAGTATTGTTAAGGCAAGGTTTTCAAGCTTTACATTAATTTACTTCGATTTGTTTTGTTGGAGTTATCATGTTTCTTAGCTTTATGCTTGGCATATTATTTGAATATTTTCAATCAATCAGCATACATATGTTTGAAGATGTGGAGACATTCATTTCGTCGAGCTAATCTATCAAAAAAGTTGGGGAGTTCTTGATGATACGATCTTTGCAACAACTGCCTTATGAAATATTAAACTGCCGGCTCCAAAAGATAAAACATAAATTTTAATGAGCCTGTAAAATGTGAAATTGCTTTAACCATTGAGTGTATGAATGAAGTTTTATATTTCTGCTAAAAAACAAGGTTTGTTCTTTGCAATAAGTCATTTCAATTTAAAATTCCCTATATCAATCTGTAAAACAACAGCATATACATTAAAAAACGTTTTTTTCAGTTATTTGCGTCCAAATTATACTTTGTTGTAGACAAAATATTACCTAAAGTCATTAACTTAACCTATGTTTTTAATTAGTGCATAACGCTTAAAACATCGGCTATTTTACAAACGCACATAATTAAATTCAGTGATAACAAAGGCAAAGTTAAGTAAAAGTAAATGTTTGTGATAAACATTTAAGACAAAGCCACGCCATTTTTATTTTTAGTCTTAAAGGAAATTTGCGGAAGATGATTTCTTGGTCAAGGAGGAAAAACGTACATAAAAATTCAAAGTTGTATCACTAAATTATACAACTACAAGGATACAGTATTATTATTGCCGTCTTATATTACATATTTTATGTTTATTAGCCACATTGCTTCGTATAATTAGCCTGTAGTCTGCCAGCTGTTGATACTTAAGTTGCTTTATAGACTTAAATGACAGTTTTAGTCTAACTTACGCATAAATTGGATGTGTTTCTTTTTCGTCATCAAGTTTAAAAAATATCACGTTAATTCAGTGTACTAAGCAAAGAAATTGGACAGAATATAAAATTTATAAATACTGCGGTGCCTTTCTACTCAAGCATGCATAATTCTTCAGCTTGAAAAAAACAAAAAATTGAATAACTCCTACTAAAAGAAAAATTTAGGACATCACAAAGTGACAAAGAGAAAATGGCCAGCGGTAAAAAAGACCCATGTCTAAAATTTGTAAAAATTTTGTCACACCAACATTTAAATTGACTCTATGTGAGAACAGATAAACTATCACATTTAAAAACACAAGTGTTTTTAAAATAAAGGTGAAATGAGCATTGCAACAACTGCCTTTTAAAAGATGCAATGAGCATATATGACGTGTGAACGTGCTTCAAAACATTGAATGTTTTAATAATATCTCATATTTTAGCGAGCAAAGGTTTCAATGTTGCTAGCAAGCCAAAATGCTTTGAAAATCTCAAAAACAGCATCATACAAATTGGAAACATTTTCCTGAGTATAGTGTTTTTAAACAATACTTCGATGAACACAAAATATTTCGTAAAAGTCATAAAGATTGCCTATCTTTCTAAATATGGTAATGACTCTTATAACGTTTGTCTTTTTTCTAACGGATAGAAATTAAGTTAAATTTTAACAACAACAAAGTTAAGTAAAAGTTAATATTTGTGATACAAATTTAAAAGAAATCCAAGCCATGTTTCAATTTTGTTTTTATAAAAATGTATGATAAACAACTTTTTTGGCAGGAAGAAGAAAATACCGATACAAATTTGACGTTTTATCACTGAACCATGTTTATAAGCAATTTGCGCTTACATTACACTGCACTAATATGGCATATTATAATTATTGTTAAACTATCTGTCACGCTCATTGGCTACATTACTTCGTACAGTTAGCCCAGCTGTGTCGGCTGATATTTTGACATTATATTTCATGAACATGCTCATATTTTGACATTTTTAACTTAAATGAAAGTTTTAACCAAACGTATAGGCATAAGATATGTATCACATTTTTCTTCTCATTCTTAAAGCTCAAAAATATAAAGATGTATATAAAGTACACACGTCTAGCTTTATATATACTTATTGCGAGCAGATAAATATAATTTTTTAAGGGAAAACATTAAGAATCTTCTAAAATGGTGTCTTTTTACCAAAGCATTCCTTATGTCTTTGAACTCAAGCAAAGCAAAAATGGCATAACACTCACTCAAACAGAATATATTAAAAGACATTAATTAATAAACAGAAAGACGCTGAGCTATAAAGTGTCTCGTTTCTAAAATTTGCCGAAAATAATTGGTTGCACTAACTGTCAAATCATTTCTTGTTAAGCACAATATCATATTTTAAAAACACAAGCATCACAAACAAGATCAGACAAAGTGTTGATTTTAAAATAAAAACTTATGTGAAAAATGTATATGAACATGTATAATCTTTTGAAATATTCTTTAATCTTCAATTGCAATTTACACATTTTTGTCGACAGAGCAAAACGATGATAGTAAAAATATAGCTACAGCATTTTAATAAGGCAATGGCGAAACTGAAAAGGATTTGAGGTAAACAATCATAATAGAGATCACATTTCCTTTAGATTTCATGTGAAAAAATAAATATGAAAGTTTACAAATCATACAAAAATGCATAATGAATTTATTCAAGTAAATATAGTCTTAACAATAATTTAAAACGTTTCGGTAAGAATAACACATAACGGTTCTACAACGCATATTTTCTCAGCTGTCTTTAGTTCATAAGCGCTTTTATTTATTAAAGTCCATTAAAAGAAAAACTACTCTTCCCATATGGTGACGCTTAGTTGTTAGCACACACTACGTCATTTTAATTTAAAGTATCGATGATATATTACTGTTTGTAGTATAAATAGACCCGAGCTGCACCTTAAACGCAATTGTCAACGCTCGTCATATAAGTAGCTACATTGGCGCCTGGAAACACGAAGAACACGTTTCTCATCTTTTGGTTGAAAATATGAAAGTAATTTCAAAAACTGTCACTCTTTTGCTTTTGTTTTGTGTATTTTCGTCTTGCTGTGGCAAACCAAAGTGGTTGTGGATGGATGATGAATTTGTGGAAGAAAAAAACATGTCCGAAATGGAAAAGAAAGAGCAAGACACTAAAGATCTTCTTCAGGCAAAAGGATGTATCTATTCAGACTTTCGTGCATGCAAGTACTGAAACTTACTGAAGTAAAACTATGACCAAAACAATTCTTAAATGATCTAATTTCTGTAGGAAATCTCAATAAAATAATATAATAAGATCGAAGTATTGACAAACTGTATTTGTGTGTTGATGGACTTTCCGTACATATTATATGTCGTTTTATGTTTATAATAGCGTTTGCCTGAATCAGTTCGAGCAGTATTACTTTCCAACTCTTGCCTTTTGCATCTATTTTAAAATGAAACACTTATTTACAGTCTAGATTATATATGTATTGTCAAGTTTTCGTTTATCGTTGTTCGTTCAAAGCTTGATAAATGCAATACATTGATGCCGTTGAACAAAAAGAATTTGTTTATATGTTTTGTGGCTGAAATGGTGGAACTATGAAATGGAATGCATGAAAATATTTTCTCAAACCATCTCAGAGTCTCTAATTCTTTTCTTCTGATTATCTAATTCTTTTCTGTGTATTTTAATCTTGCTGGGCAAAACCAAATTGGTCGAGGATTGATGATGAACTTGTAGAAGAAGAAAACAGAACCGATGAGAACCAGTAGCTGCTGCGGATTGGTTGTATTTATGAAGTGGATAGGTAACCACGCAAGCGCAATTTGATTGCCGAGTCTTAAAAGTTAAAAGCAAGTAAAGTCGGTGGATTCTTTTCATTTCGTAGGAAATTTCTTTTCATTAATACTTTTGACTATTCTGACTTTACCTTATTTTTGGTTGTAAGTTGGCATTTTTTGAAAATATGAGTTCTACGACTTGCAAAACTCTATGCATGAAGCTATTTTCGATGCGATAACGAATGTAAACAAACTTTAAAATACTACAACTATATGACAAATATAACAGGTATACATATGTGTCATTTTATTTAACTGGAAGGCTACTCTCTGCCAAAATTTGCAGCCAGCAATCAAACTATTCCTAGTCTTTTCACGCACGGCTAAAAAAGTTCATTTACGACAATAAACACAATGATATTTGTTAACAAGACATACATGTGTTTCCCGCGTGGGTCACCCGATTGTTCACGAACCCTGATCTATATACTTCTGAACAACAACAAAGTACGAAGAAAACAAAGGCATCTCGTTGTAAGATCCGTACTATAACGGAAATTGTGGAGAGGGTAGTTATTTAGTTGTGCTCGACTGATTTCATATAAAAGTGAAGATAAACATCCCCAAATTAACGTTCTAGCATCTTTTTTCTCATTTTATGGACTACCAAACCGCCATTCATGCACTGTTGAGTAGAGTTTTCAAAAAATGTTTTAATACGGGTCCCATTGTTCTTGGGACACCCTGTATTAAGATAACAAGATAAGACTTTCTCTTCAATGGCTGTCATTTATAAAAAAGTAGAATATTAGACCAAGAAGCTACATCAATGCTTTTGTTGTTCAAATACTGGCATGTATAGAAATCAAAAATATTTTTGCTGTGGTTTTGAAGCAGAAGTTTTCTTAACCAGATTGCTGGGGAGGTACCTTTATCTAAAATAAAACACTTAATATAAAAAAATGATGTAAAATGATAGTAAAGATTTTATGCACAGGACTAGACAAAGAAATTCAAAGTCTCATTTTTATTTAATGAACGAAAAAGCTTTGTTTTGTTTGATTCAAGTTTTACTTAGGTTTTCCTATCGAGCAACTTTTGTTTCTTCCGCTGTATCGAAACAACCAACACTATCCGACATGTTGAAGAGAAGGAAAGTTGATGTGTGTGGGTTTCAGGAGGTAAGATTTAAAGGTGAAGGGACGAGAGTCATAAAGAGTGAAGATAATGGAGCGAGATTTAAGTGGTTTTGGAAGGGAAATGGAAGTGGCACGAATGGTGTTGGCTTTGCGATAAGAGAGGACTGGGCGAAGTCGGTTGTAGCAGTGAAGAGAGTTTCGGACAGAGTCCTGAGAGTTGATGTAGTTATTGAGGCCGAAGTTGTGAGTTTCGTTGTGGTGTAGGCTCCGCAGGTTGGACGAATTGCGGAGGAAAAGGAAAAGTTCTACGACAGCGTGTATGCCGTGAGAGCAGACATTAGAGGGCGATGTGTGATGCTTGGTGATTGGAACGGTCATGTGGGAAGCGTAAGAAAAGGATACTGTGTGCATGGAGTTTTTGGAGTTGGTGATATGAATGCTGAAGGCGAGGCGATTTTGGAGTTAGCAGCGAGTTGTGGGACGGTGGTAGTGAATACGTGGTTTATAAAGGAAGAAAGCAAGCTTGTGACGTATGAATCTGGTGACAGTAGGACGGTGGTGGATTATATACTGGTGAATGAAGAAGAGAAGAAAAACGTGAAGGATGCAAAAGTGATTGCAGGAGAAGAATGTGTGACCCAGCACAAGCTGCTGTTCATGGACTGGAGAATCTGGAAGGTGAAGAGGAGAAAGGTTGAGGGTAAAGGCAGGCTTAAGCTATGGGTTACGATCGAATGAGGGCCAGTGTTTCCGTGACGAAATTGCGACATTGAATGTTGAGAGTGAGACGGTGGAGGAACGATGGACGTGCTGGAGAAGTGTTTAACAACAGCGGAGAAGGTATGTTGTGAAGTAAAACGGTGTAGTAGAAGAAACAGGCATGGTGTGGATCAACAGTCAGCGAAGTGATTGGCGCGAAGAAGTTGGCATTTAAAAAGGTGGAGAAAGTCGCGGACTGAAGCAGGATGGATCGATTACATCCGTTCAAGAAAAAGGCGCGAAAGGAGGTGGCTAAAGCGATAAAGATCAGAAAGAGCTAAAAATGTAGAATGGACCAGCGTTGTTTAGAACGGCTAGAAGGAGCAGGAGAGGAACGATATTTTGGTGCTCCCGGCGTGCAGAACCACGATGAGGAGTTGAAGGTATTGGAAGACAGGTTAGAAGTGTGGAGGGCGTACTATGACCGTTTGATGAATGTAGAGAATGAGTGGAATGGAGAAGTTGAAGCAGATGAAGTTTGGGGCCGTGGGAAACAGTGACTGTTGATGAGGTGGCGGCGGCTCTGCGCAAGATGAAGAAAGGAAAGGCGACGGGACCGAGTGAAGTGGGTAGCGAAATGTTGGACAATGAACTATGCGTGAGAGAGTTATGTAATGTAGCGAACGAGGTTTGAGGGGCTCAAAGATGCCGAGTACATGGAGAAAAGTCTAGTGGTCCCGCTGTACAAGGAAAAGGAGCAGCGACGGTATGTGGGAATTACAGGACTATTAAGCTGATGGAACATGCGTTGAAGATAGTAGAGAGAGTGTTTGAAAGAAGGTTGAGGGAAGTTGTTCGGATGGGGGAAGAGCAGTATGGATTCATACCGGGGAGAGGAGCGACGGATGCGTGTTTTGTGCTGAGGCAGCTGCAGGAGAAATTTTTGGAGAAGGACAGAGAATTGTATATGGTGTTTGCAGATTTGGAGAAGGCGTTTGATAGAGTTCCGAGAAAGATGATCGAGTACGCGCTGCGTAAGAAAGGTGTGACAGAGAATATGGTTCGGGTAGTTATGGAGACTTATGAAGGTGTAGAGGCGGTGGTTACGGAGGAAGGTGTTAGATCTGGTGTTTTTGAGTTAAAAGTTGGTGTTCATCAAGGTTCAGTCTTGTCGCCGTTACTGTTTGCTTGTGTGATGGATGTACTGACAGAGGAAGTGAGAAGAAAAGAAGGATGCTGGTGTTTGTTGTATGCAGATGACATTGTCTTTGTGGCGGACTCGAAGCAGAAAGTCATGGAATGGTACCGAGAATGGAAAACGGCAATAGTCGGGACTGAAAGTGAATGATGCAAAGACGAAGGGCATGAGATGCTCGAGGCAGGTGGAGGCGGACAGTGATAAATGGCCTTGTGTGTGTGGAAAAGAGTTGGAGTTAATTGATAATGTGTGGAAATGCAGTAAGTGGGTTCATGGAAGATGTTCAGGTGTCCGTGGTGCATTGAGAAGAGTAACTGATTTTGAGTGCGGGACGTGTCAAGTGGTGGGCGAGTCGCGATTGAACGGTTTGAACTGGGTGACGTGAGTTTGGAAGATGTATCGGAGTTTAAATATTCAAGGAAAAATGATGGTGGAGGTGCGAGCAAGCGGTGAGGAACAGAGTTCAAGCAGCGTGGTGGAGTTTTAGAGTTGTCGGAATGCATGTGAAAGTCGAATCGTTGAAGCAGAAGGAGAATTGTATAAGGCATGTATTAGAAGTGTTTTGGGATATGGAGCAGAGTGTTGGGTGCCGAAAGCAGAGACCTGAGAAGATTAAGGCCGACGGAAAGGAGATGCTTAGATGATGTGGCGTAACGTTGATGGATTCAGTGAAGAGATTAGAGAAGAGTGGTGTTGAATGTATCGAGAATTGGGTAAGGCGCCAGCGTTTGAGGTGGTTTGGGCATGTGGAAAGGAATGAAGAAAGCTGAAATTCGTAGAACGTTGCATATGAATGTTGATGGAGTCCAAACGAGTAGACCGAGAAAGAGATGGATGATGTGAACAGTGATATGAAGGCGATGGGTATAACGAGAGATATGGCGAGAGATAGAGACGTTTGGCGTAGAAAAATTCATGGACCGGTCAACCCCCCTGGCGTGGATTAATACTGGCCGGTATACAAATGTTGTTTGTTTGTTTGTTTGTTTGCAAATAGCCTTCTAGCTATGGCTATAAATCTGGAGTATGATACTAAAGACTCTTACCACCAGTGGCGTAGCCAGCAGGCAAGTTATGGTCCAGCTATCTAAATTTTAGTTCATTAGCATTATTTATTACTGTAGAAATCTTTTGATTTTACTGTGAGTGAACACACAAAAATTAGCATAGCAGGACCAAATTTGTGAGCCGTCTACGCTACTGTTGGCTAATTAATATGTGTGTCTCACATAACACTTGCTTAATATAAAATAGATTTCATTAACAGGGCATGTATGCATTTCGACATTCATGAGGCTTTTATCCTTAATCAATAGCTAATACTTTGACCAACTCAAAAATTATTACATTTTTCTACCCGTTTTTTTTCCGCCATTCAAACAAGAAAAGATAAAAAGGCATGTTCAATGTTGCTCTAAGCATCTTGAGCAGGAGTCTAGAAACTCGTAATTACTAAAAACTAAATATGCTTCTGTGAAGAATGATTTCAGTAACGCATGCCTCACAATGTTGAATAAGCTCTTTGATTCCAATAACGCTGTTTTATTGATTTATTTGTGAAAACCTAAAAATCAAAATTTTAGAGTGGTAGTCAATTGACTAATGATATCTTGCATTTAGTGATAGGTATTTATCTTAAACTATTAGAAGCTAGCTCCGAACCAATTGGATCAATAAATTTTCTCGCTGAATTTTCGAATAGCTCAAATCACGCAGATGTGTTAATTTTGCAGTCGTTCGTTTATTTGTTTGTTCGGTAATTTTTTCCAATGTTTCTTATCAAGAAATGTTTTCTATGTTCCCTTAAACATACAATTATAGATCACAGTGTTATGTGAAATTACTCAACCAGATCGCTTATCTGGCTTATGAAGAGTCACATTACTTATATGTTTGCCAAAACGATTAGAGATTCTCTAGCTATTGAAAATTCCTTTCATTTAACTAGAGTACGTACCATAGTAGCATGAACTTTCCATGTAAGAACTGGCCTCTATAAAAATGTAAACAGATCGTACCATACAAAATTTTATCTGGATGCTTAACTATTTCTTTTAAAACATATCATTTTTATTCCATTGTTTCTTCTCTAAAAGTTCATTGTAATATTTGATATTTTAGTAACTAATATACACAAAAGATAATCATTTGAACTAATATCATTTTTTATAGTTTCAAGCGAACATATGTTAGACATTGTAAACAAGACAAAGTAATCACCCAAAATCCTATGAAAAGACTAGCCGTTTTCGACAACTTTGAACTACACCGACAGCTGTGAAAGCGTCAGGATTGCAGCGAAACTCAATGTGAGCATCACAACAAAATTTTACTGTCTTGTCAATAAAAGATTTTCCAAAATTTTGACGTAATGCAACTTTCTTTTAACATTAAAGATTTTGTTATTTAAAACTAAACAAGATATGATCAGTTGCTGTTAAACATAGCTACTAAACAGTTGTATTCATTTTTATTGTTACATGACAAATCCAGGGGTGAAATTAGAACGCTAATTAGGGGGGGGGGTAAATATTCATATATTCAGCTCTGCCCTGATGATTTCTTTTGCAATTAAAATCGCAAACAGAAGAAGTCAGCATAGAAGAGCTGAATATATGAATGTGGGTGTAAAATGGCTAAACTTAAAGGCTCATTAAGCTGTTTGAGATATGCACTACACAGTGGCGGATTCAGAGTACGACGAAAAAATCCAGAGAACGCTGTTAGAAAAGATCAAATCAATCAAGAAAATTATATTTGTTTTTTTGCATTAAAAATGTCAACTAAAGCATTATTCATTACAATCAATGCGTGTTTTTTGACCAAAAGAAAACATTAGTTGAAAATAGGGAAGTTGTATACGCTAGAATAACATATTGGAATTATTCAAAATGATATTTTTCTATAAGCCTCAAAGAAATATACTTTATTTCATTTTGGTAATCTAGTGTCAATTTTAAATCCAGACATCCAAGGATAGTGGAGAGTGTCACCGAAAGACTGCTTTTTAACATATGAATATGCATTGTGAATATAAAAAGAAGGAAAGAAAACTTGTAAATAATTGACATCAACATAACTTAAACATTTTAATGTATATATTAAAAACACTTTCCTCTCTCAACCATGTATATTTAATTGTTTAATGTAAATACCGCAAAACTCATCAATCTTACGTACATGTTTTTACATACTAACGAATAATACTTTATTTGTTGAGTACAGTACCTGTTAAAGACAAACATCTCGAGTAGCATTAACTAAGCATCTTTTTATTTGTATGCTAAGGACGCCTATACTCCTTGCGTTTTATGTCATAAAACACCATTTTAAAGGTCATCAACCTAATTTATATTTATCACATATTTATTGTTTGATGTGCGACCATCACAATGCTAAAAATGCATAGAAGTTACCAAAAGACTGTTTCATTTTCTTTAATGTATTGTTCAAATGCTTGAGAATTTTTATTTTCTTATAACATCTAATAAATAAGAAACTTTTATTATAATCCAACAAAAAGTTTTTATATTTTATAGTTTTTGGAAAAAAGTATTGAGATGTAAACAAGTTCACTTCATTTTATTTTTAATGCCTTAATGATGCACGTCTTATAGTTACTCAATGATTGTACTAGCATCTTCCTTATTTTTTATTGTTTACAGATTTCCATGATAAGTAATAAACCAGTTCTAACTTCTAAATTAGTTCACAAGTTTATCGACCACTACCTATTATAATGTACAAGCGAGGATCTTGAGTCATGTTCAAAGTTCTAAAAGACTCTGTCTGTTGTTTAACAGAGTCGATAATTTTCAAGATGTTTATAGTTGAATTTTAAATCTTGCTCATTTGAAGCAGGTAATCACACAAAATGTCTTGAAAAAGTGAAATAATTTGGGACTTTAACATCTGTAAAATTCCTCCCTAATACCTTTTGATAAAGTGGCTGTTTAGTTTTTCAAGACATAATCAAAGGCGTAAATAGATTATCATTTGGTGGAACGGTGTATATTCAAACAATCGGTTGCGCTCAACTGAATTCTTTTGAAACCCAAATCACTTTAAATAATTGAATAATTACTTTGCTAGATTTATTATCTGCTTTATATATATTTGCTGCTAGTACATATTTTTCTTACGTTTGTTATAGGATTCAAAACTTCCGAACAATCAATTAGAGTACCACTTTATATTGTGCGACATCAGAAATTTTCTTTTTCGAAGCCTTCTCAATTAAATTGTTTCACAAAGAATGAGATTATCCATTAAAAAACTGCAACAATTTGTAGTCCAAATACCTTTAAAAGCAGCAGTTTTTTTCATAAAATCCTACGAGAGATTCTCGCCACTATAGTAGTTTACTCGATGGCACCGTGTTTTGACTTTATTCCAAAGTCATCATCAGAGAATACATATAATATATAAATCCTAACACGGTTTTTTCTTATGCACATTAAAAACATGTGACTTGGACGAGATTTGAACTCGCCCCTTCGGGATACTAGTCCGCCGCTCTACCTGTTGAGCTACCAAGCCCACAGGGATTGGAGACCTGTCAAATCTCTTAAAACTGCGTATGGACGAGCAGTGGCGTTGCTAGGAAAAATAGTCACTCCCGCCAATCCATCTCGCACCGGAGGCGCGACCCCACTAGGGGGGTCCGGGGGCATGCTCCCCCGGACAATTTTGAAATCCAGAGCCTTGGAAACAGCATTTCCTGCGATTTCGAGGGCGAATTATTTGTTGTACAATAATTTATAAAAACCCATTTTTGTTAGCAGCATTCTTAATGTGGCAATCGTTGAAACTGCAACTAGTTAAAAGGTACTAAAGGTGGCTCAGAGAACGTTACGCAGGAGACAATTGTCCCCTAAAACATAATTTACTCATCACTGCCCCTGCATAAACAGAAGAAATTTGTATTAGCACAAAAATAATATAGTATACGACACTTCTAAAGTGCATAGAGAGAGATTTTTCTTAGCATTCTACTTGTTAGTTTAAACTTGTTTAGATTGGGGCAAGTAGACAGGGATGGCTTTATTCTTTAAAGTTATGCTTAATTTTCTCAATGAAGTACCATGTATTATACGAACAAATATCAAAACACATACTATACTCATCATTTATAAAGAAAGGCCAGCCTCCTGGTTTTTCTACAAATTTTCAACCACCTCGTTATGCAACACCTCTGATTCCTCTTTCTTTTCAATGATATCTTTGTGAATAGATATTCTACACAAAGAGCTAAGCCGACCTTGACCCATTCTATTTCTTAAATAGCTTTTACCCTTTTAAGCAAGAAAACGACCTCTCTACTGAAGCACTTGCCACTGCCAACACACCATTCAATTTTAACAAATTTACCACTTGACCTAAACTCGACTGGAGATTAAATTTGAAGATGTATTTAAGAACCTCATTACTGCACTCTTTGTGAAAGTCCTTGTCGTTGTAAATGAAGGAAAGTTGACTCTCCAAAGTTTGGATGTCAAAAGAGGACTATACTTATCTTTGAGAAGATTGATCTTCTCCTGTGGAACTATGCCCTTCCATGTAGTAAATAGTTTAGGATTTACAAGGTCTAAAAACTCGAACTGATTAATATCTTGAAATCGTTCACTTAACATGCCTTTAATGGAATCAATAATCTCAAAATAAAGCTGTTTGTAATTGTATCTACTATCTGCTCTGGTTGCTGGTGGGCCTACTTTTCTAGTGCAGTTTGGTAAAACTCGGTGAAAGCTTGATCTGTGCGAAGTGACACAATAAACTGCTTGAAATTGTCAATCTTGCTTATGCCATAGTTAAAATGGGTTTCCTATTTTGAAGAATGGAATACAAAATTGTGGACTGTTCTAAAATCCTGTAAAAACACACACTAGAAAACAAAAGAGAAAGCTATCAAGATAATGCAGTAAGCCACTTATTTTACTTAATGATCATCCCACCAGCTGGTTGTTCAAGTACCCCTCAAAAATATCTAAAAGTTTTTCATAGTTTTGTGCAATACATTGATTAATCTAGAGCGATAATACCATCTTGTTTCACCAGTGGCAGGAAACTCAAGGTTGTTAGATGTGAGAAAAGCTTTTCTTTTTGGGGCATTGCTTGTAAATGTGCTGAATGTAGCTATATTAATAAAAAAGATTTTAACAAGAGAAATTGATGAGGCTGACTGGCATAGGACCACGTTCAATCTATGAGCTGCACAAAGAACAAAATGAGCAAAAGGATACTCTTGTCGAACCAATGCTTGAACACCATTGATATGGCCAGACATGACAGAAGCACCATCATATGTTTGTAAAATCAGTTTTTCTTTTATATTAGAATACTCACCAAGTTTATCTTTGACAACTTGTGATATTGCTGTGGCATTTCTGTTCATACTTACATCCACAAATCCTAATTGCCTCTCCATAATTTCACTTGCCTTGTCAAACCGAGCAATAACACTTAGCTGCTCTTTGGTGGAGACATCAGATGCTTCATCAACCTGAATACTCATAAATGTGCAATCATTTATTTCCTTTCTGATTTCATCTTCAATAATTGAATCAAGACAGCTGATAAGACCATTTTGACTTTCTGGGGAGACTCCAGTAAATCTTCTGTCACCAACTATATCAAATTCTGGTAGTCTACTGTGCAGTCGACGCTCAAATACAGAATCAAACTTAGCAAAACATTCGAGCAACTCTCTATAATTACCTTTGTTCAAGCTACCTTTGGACTCATTGTGACCTCTAAATGGCAACTCTTGCTTTGACAAATACAGCACGGCCTCAGTAACAGTTTTTAAAATTTCTCTATTTTGTCTAACCTCCTCACTGTGATGCTGAATCTCATTTCTTCTAGCGAGGGACATAAGACAATCAATTCGTTCACTAGCTCCATACGTTTTCCATGTCTTAAATGCAGTCAAATGCGATTTAGATTTTTCATGCTTCTTAGCATCAGACATAATACTCCGCATATCGTTTTATCCATTCTTAGTTCACGATGGCGATGTTTTCGGGGAAAACATTAGACATGGCCAACAAAACACTTTCTGCAAGGTTGTACTGCCACACAGCCAGTCCTTCGCCTCATACCAATCTCTCTGAAATGCTCTTCCCTTATTTTGGATAGTTAAATCAGGAGTAGGCCGTTCATGAACGATAACATTCTGTTCGACCGACGATCGAGCAGAGAACGGTTTAGCTAATAAGCTATTTACTAAATCAACATCATTTGAGCAAATCGCAGTCGCACTTGAAGCCATTGTGTCATACACAAATACAAAATAGCAATTTGAGAGTAAACACAATGGAAAATTAATACCGACAATGACACGTAATTTGATAATCACTAATCGCTGTACTCGTATTAAAAGGTCGAATAATTACAACCTCCGCCAATTTAAAATAGCGGGAGTTCGACTATAAAAACAGCAGATTTGAGCATGCGTCAAGTCCCTTAGCCAACCAGAATTCAAAACTTCTTATATAGAATTATATTGTATGTTCCGCCCTTTGAAGATGGGCGGAATACGTGGAGAATCGCGCGAGTATGCAATGTGCGAGAAAAGGCGGTTGCTAGGTTACATAACAAATCTTGGGATTTTGCTGTATTACGATTACGAACCACCTAATAAAAGTGTAAATATGAACGAATAAAACATAATATTACAAATTGTTCGTGAAATAATGTATATCTTATGTCCAAATAGAATATTTATTATTTTTTTGGGAAATTTCTACTCCCGCCGGGCGGGAGTAGCGGGACCGCTAGCTACGCACTGTGGACGAGAGACGTACGAACGACGTATGAACGACGTATTTCTCTCATCCATACGCAGTTTTAACAGATTTTGACATGTCGGAACATGTCTATTTTCAAAGAAAAAATCGTCGACTATTAAAAGTGCATAGTGCAAGTGTAATGTTATCCTTAAAGCTTGCCATGAAAAGCCTTGATATTATGCATTGAACATGTTTATAAAACTTGCCCTTACTTCTCTTTCTCTTTTGTGTATTTTCGTTTTGATGAGCCAAATCACTTTTGATTTCGGTAAATGATGACTATATGGATTTAAGATGATCAAGCCAAAAATTGCCAAAACAAGAATAGGTCATAAAAGGAATTTAAAAGACAAATAAAAATCAAAAATTTTTTCGTTAGTCAAACTATCATGTATGACAAAATTAAGAATTTAAAACTATGAAATTGTGTCATTTGAGAGTAATTTTCAAATGACACAATTTCTGCTTGTCAACTCACTAAAATAAAATACAAAGGAATATGGACAAATTTAATAATTTTATGTTGAAAAAGTTCTCGTACTTGTTATTGCTCTACGAGGCACGTTCACATGTAGCCAAATGGCAGAACATTAAAGTTCTTTCGATTTCCTTTATTTTCATTCCTAATTTTTATTTCTAAACATTGTTTTAAATTACTGAATATTATCCGTTTCTTTCTTAGTATATCAGCAATTGCTGCTTTGTAGTTAATTATTCTCTCCAGAAAAATTCTATCAACAATTATTAACAATAAAAATTACGTTTGTATGTTTAAAAATTCTCTTATACATTACATCGTATACCGATCTTATATAATCACTTTGTTACATAGAAAATTTTTTTTTATTTTAAGAAAAAATGGACTAATTATAAGAAAACATTTCTTAAGAAACATTAAGATCTTTTTTCTTAATATAAGAACTGCTTTTCCTAAGTATGTTTCTTATTTTGAGGCAATTTTCTTAATTAAAGTAAAAAATTTTTAAATTTTTTTCAAAATAAGATGTGTTAGTTATAATATTTGGATTGGTGCACTGAAAAATATTCATAAAGGAAAGAAAAACATATTTAAATTTTGACTTAAATGGCTTTGATACAACAGGTCCAGCTTATAAAAAAAAATATATTACTACTTAAAATTTAAAGTTAACTTATCAAGTTCAGTTTTCATGTTTCTTCTACAAGCCATCTTTTGATGTTTTATCTTATATTTCCAGTATATTGCATTCCTTATTATGTCTTTCACAGCTCTGAAATGAAATAATATGAAAGAATGATGGAAAATGATAGTAAATATATTATTCACGGGACTAGTCAAGTAAATTCAAAGCCCCATGTTTATTTCATCAAGGAGAAATTCTTTCTTTTGTTTGATTTAAGTTTTACTTAGGTTTTGCTATCGAGCAACTTTTGCTGTTTATGTGCAGTATCAAAACAACCAACGCTATAAGACAGTTTTTTGTTTTACGTAGCTAAAAACGTGTGTGCTCATGGTTTGTATTTGAAGAGTAAACACACATAAACTTTTTCAAATTTTATTTCGTTTTTGGGTTCAGTTACTGTGTAACAATAGATTTCTAAAGAAATTAATAATGATAACTTTTCAAGCGTGTGGATGGAAAGCTGCAGGTTGACTATGCTACTGCGTATAATGTGACATATGTGTCACTCTTTATCATGCATAACTCTAATAATAGGATAACAATTTGCTAAGTCACGTTTTTCCCACACAGTGCTTGTTCAAAATCGACGTCCTTAATATCAACAATCTCACGGCCGTAGCTAGAACGTCAAATTTGGGGGTGGGGTGTTTATTCCGTTTTGTCCGACAGACTTCTTTTGAATGTGATTTGGCTTTCTAAAGAAACTAATCAGGCCCTACTGAATGTACAGCCTCCCAGAAAGCCCTCTAGCTACGTATGATACTAAAAACTCTTACCACCAGTGGCGTAGCCAGCCCGCAAGTTAGCTTCTGCTATGTAAACTTTACATCATCATTATTTATTTTTTTAGAAGCCTATTGTTTTTACTGTGAGTAAACACAAAAAATTAGAATCGCAGGACCAAATTGGGGGCTGGATACGCCACTGGTTGCCAATTAATATGTGTTTCTCACACAGTACTTTTTAAATGCATAATAGATCTCATAAACTTGCATGGCATGTATGCATTTCATTACTGATGAGGCTCTTATCCTTAATCGACAGCTAATACTTTGACCAACTCAAAAATTATTACATTTTCCCCTTCCGTTTTCTCTGCCATTCAAACAAGATAAGATAAATGACATGTTCAATGTTCCGTAAGCATCTTGAGAAGGAGTCTA